ATTCCGTGATAGTGTCCACAACGAAATTGAACAAAAACGAGGAAATTGGACTACCTAGTGGACGCCAATTGCGGTCGGAAAGCTATCCGACAGGTCACCGTAGACTTTGACGCATCCTGTATGGTTCGAGTATGGTGCACGTAGGATGTTCACATATTTCGTGGAAATACCTTTCCGCGCTAGTTATTCGAACACGAAGCATGGATCGACTGAATCAAACGCAAAATTGACATTGAGGAACACAGCTGGAGGAACAGGAGACTGAATATTCCCGATCTCTCAACACTGACCTACCTGGTACTATTAGCTCACAAGGGGCCTGGAGGCATCACCAATAATAGCTCCATGGGTCATGGAGGTATGTAAACGGTCGCACCACGTTAAAGTCAAGTCTGTTTGCCACGTGTGATTTGAGATGAGATGAGATGATTTATGTGCTGGGTGTAAACTGCCCATTGTGTCGCAGAGATCATGTAGTCGTCAGTTTCCACTTCGTCTGCTTTGCAAAATATCCGTATGAGAACTATGAGAGAGTGCGAACTATCACCAGCTATGATCGATTATTTCATCTACTCAACGCCACAACCTCGTCGTTCCTTGATGAAGAACCTCTGGTAGACGCCTTGCTGAAGTTCGTGAACAACTTTCGTCGGCTGATTACAGATTCTTTAGAGGTGAGCTTTCAATGGGTGCGAATCAGTTTCTTTTCTTAGGAGCAGAACTCAGAAATGGATGTTAGTGCGCAGCACAGCATGGGTGTACAGTGAAGCTCCAACCCCAGATACATGGCACAACTAAGTAAACCAACGTAACAACTGCACTAAACTGCTCGGAGAAAACAAAGCCGTCTATCAGCAAAACAGTGCAAAATCCTTCAGTGCTAACCATAAACTGCTGTACATGCATGTCATTGGCTTACAAAAGGTGAGGAAAGGAGTTCTTCCAATCAGGACAGCTGATAGCCCAACCACCAGAACGGCTATGGAAGCAACAAATGCGCTGCGAAGGCAATATGTCCCAACGTTTCACAGGGTCTGGCCATCAAGTAATCTTCCAGCTTTTGTGATCCCCCCGCCAAGGCTAAACCACATCACTTTTACCGCTAAAGTCCTATTGCGGATGCTGACGTCTCTACGCAACTACAGCTGCCCGGGTGTTGATACCATTTGTCCAGATTCATTGGGAGCAGCAGCAAGCCAAGCGACAGGATCTTTAGGTCAGTTCTTCCAGCGCTGCATAAACTAGAACCAGATTCTTGCTGTGTGAATCTTGGAATAATAACTGATTCACAACGGCGGAAGCAGAACTGAGCTTCCAAACTTCCGCCAAGTGTCTCTTCGCCATATACTCTCCAACGTCATGTGATCCATCGTAGCCGATACACTGGTGCATTATCTGAAAAGCTGTGACATTGTCCAGCCCGAGCAGCATGGCTTCCGTCGACGGCGATCGTGCACAACGAATTTACTAATCGCACGCTGTAGTTGGATAGAGTCAGCTGACGCTGGAGTGGGCGTTGTTGTGATCTAGCTGCATTTTTCGAAAGCTTTCCATCGTCTAGACCATCAAATACTACTTTCCAAGCTCTAGTATTGCGGGCTCGTCACCTCTTTTCTATGCTAAATTGCCAACCTTCTACTTCAACGGCAATTAGTGGTCAGAGTTCGGAGCTCTTTATCGGAGCCCATACAAATCGAGTGTGGTATGCCGCAGTACTACTGCTACACAGGCAATCGTTCAAAACTTCCTACTGTCTGCCGGTTATATCAAGCTTTGGCGCAGGATCCATGGGAATGCCAAAAAGCTTCTGCATTAGAATGAACTGAACACGTTACCGCATTGGTCAACCCAAAATTTACTGCATTTTAACGTGAGGGGAAGAATGTTGGGGACTGTCCTTCTGGTGGGGGACTGCAACCTACCCACAATATAAGTTCCAGCGTGGCACAGCGAACAATTCAAGGCGGATTCGCAAGAGGTGATCGCTGATGTACCTGTACAACCATGTCACCTCTCCCACGCGATTTCGAACGGGTGACGCACCCTCTGTTTTGGACCTTGTGCTCTCCAACAAGGAATTAATGGTCGACATCGTGACCATAGATGCATCACTTGGCCGTAGCCATCACGTGACGTTGCTCTTTCGTTACATCTTTTACTCAGAGTACGTTAATGAGAACAACGTGGAAACCTATGTCGTTCTACATTACACTATACTGTTCAGCTTCGTTCAAGAAACCGACTGATCCTTCCTGGCCGAGAAGCCGCCTAATGTCGCCAGCGTGTTGTTCGTCACTTAATTCACTGAGATAGTGGCAAATGCGTCAGAAAGCAAGGTCATTCGTCAGAAGCTAGTAAATTCGTTCCTGAGGAGCCGTACTAGAACATACATGGCCTAAAGTGATTCAGCCTGGCGAGCTTGCAAAGTCTGTCCAAGTAACCTGACCTGGGGTGCTTACACAGCTCAACGAAACCACTGCGTCAAGTTGATCCGCAAAGACAAGCTCCAGCGCCAAGAGAACTTAGCGTCGAAATTCAGTACAAATCCCAAGTTTTTGTATAGACACGACAACAAGCTCCGCAGAGTGTAGCGCCGGATCCCGGGTTTTACGTGCAACTGGTGGTCTTGTGTAAACCGCAAAAGATGCAGCCAACGTGCTTCGTCAACAATTCATCCGTACTTTCCGGATTGAACCGTCATTTCATCCGCTTTTGACAAAGCTTCCATGGCCACCAGAATTAAACCACGCATCGTTCACGACAGGTAATGTGATGCAAACGCTAATGTCATTGCGCATGCACAGCTCACATAGTGTGGGCAACATTAAACCGAAGGCATTGAAGACAGCGGCCATGAACATTGCCGAACCATTAGCTCGGTTCTTTCAACGTTGTATCTACGAAATGCAGGTTCCGACAATGTGGAAACATGGACTAGTCACGCATATTTACAAAAGTGCTAATCCTTTGGAGCCCTCGAACTACCGTCTAGTCACTCTACTCCCAGTTTTATCCAAAGTGATGCAACGTATAACTGCAGAGGCGCTCATGGGATATCTTGAGAGAACAACATCATAGTTTCACAGCAACACGGATTACACAGCAATCGATCATGCGCTACCAACTTGCTGCTAGCCCGAGCAAGCTGTTGAGTGTCAGCCGATGCCAGATTGGGAGTCGACGTTGTCTACCTGGACTTCTCGAAAGCGTTAGACCGTTTGGACCACCCCATTCTCCTTCACAAGCTTCGAAGCTATGGAATCGTTGACCCTATACTTGGTTGGATCGGCGACTTCCTCACTCAACCTCAGCTAATGGTGAGAGTCCGCAGCTCCATTTCCGACCCAATTGACGTCCAATGTGACGAGCCTCAAGGATCGGTAATGGGGACAAGTTTATTCCTCATATTCATTAACAATATTGGCAGTGCACTACAGTCGAATTTCTTACTATTTGCAGAGGATATCAAAATTTAGCATGATATCGAGACATCGGATGATCACATGGCATTGCAGAGCGATCTCGACAGGGCTTATGCGTGGGCATCCAACCACCGGCTCCAGTTCAACCTGACCAAGTACAAAGTTGTAAGCATATGTCATCAGCTTATCTATGAATATCGACTTAGTGACCAGCAGTTACAACGGGCTTCCCAAGAAAACGACCTTGGGGTGATGGTGAAGGACGACCTGGGTTACTCGAGACAGGCTGAAAAGGCATCAGAAAGAGCCAGTTAACATCTTGTACTCTTACGGAAGGCTTTTGACAATTTTGAGCCATCAATCATTCCGCAAATGCTGAAGGCCTACGTGTGGCCTCACGTGGAATATAGGATCCAGGCGTGGGGTCTCTGGTGCAAGCGCGACGTCGATGCACTTGAAGCTGCACAACGTAGAGCGACCAAACTCTTTGGAGGATGGTTTCATCTCTCCTACTAACGCAGATTGCAGTCGCTGAGATTGTACAGTGGTGAATATCGACGTCAGCCAGGAGATTTAACCATGACTCAGGCTATCTCCACCTGAAGAGTTCAAAGCAGGACGATACCGCGGTCGTGGTGTGCCAGTGTTGGGAAGAGCAACACACAAATAGTTTTATTCTTATCACGGGTTACTTGATACTGACGAACCCAACTCACCCATGTCGCAATCTGTTGCAGCTGAGCCAAAAGACCATCCTGAGAAGCCATCAGTTTAAACTGGCTACGCACTACAGTCGACTTGATTGTCGACGAAACATTTTCTCCCTCCGTGTGTCCTGTGCCTGGAATGCCCCTCCGACTCACGTTATTCCCACCCTTCTATTAACGCTTTTCAAAAACGCTTTGATGAAACACTTTCAAACTTGTATTACTTGATATAGTCCGTTCCACTTGGAGGACGAAATAACGCAAACATGTCCATGTGCTTAACGGCCCTCACCGCAACGTAGCGGTGAGGATACTTGCAGAAGTCTCCATGTGATTAGCCGGGATGCAACTAAACTGGATTAACATACCACATCTGTCAATTGAAGAAACAAACGAGTGAGCGTTGTCGTTCCCTTTTACTATTTCTCACGCACTTATTTAACCATAACAACTCCCTATACTATTTTGCGTGTGCACATCCCATTCTCACTTCAAACTATCGTTATGCAGTAGTGCATTTAACTCGGTGGACGCTTGAAATAACGACTTACTTATTCGATGATACTACAAATTTCATTTGTTACTCCAACCATTCTACGGGACTTCTCAATCCCATGCTTTCTTACTCATGATAAACCATTGTTCATTGTTCAAATGCAAGGTGCTTTTCATGCGACATAAGTGAGACCACTCCTACCGGCTCGAAAACAATGTACTACAACAATCTACCGTCGAACGTCCCTTGGGCGTTCTGGTTCAAGATGACTTGGGTTGCTCCAGGCAATCCGAAAAGGCCTCGAGGGCTAGAAACCAACGCGTCCGGCAGTTGGGATGGGCGTTCTGACAAATAAACGGCTCTACGTTTCGACAAATGCTCAGTGTGTATATTCACCCAAATGTCGATAGCGCAATTCCAGCCGAGCATGTATGGCTAAAACACCACCTTAATGCACTGGAGCAGCCTCAATGTCGGACAGCTAATTACGTACTTAGGATGCGCAATCTCTCATACGAGCAGCGATTGAAACGTAACGAGGTATTCAGCGGAGGGCATACGTGGCATAATAATAATAATACTGATAATAATAATAATGGCATACTTGACTCCGCACGACCCACATCAAGGGTGACGTCACTTACTGCAGTTTAGCAGCAATACAACACTGAGAGCTCTCAATGCATGTCGCAGAAGCATAAAACCGTCTGGAGTGCCGAAACAACTACTTTTTCATTCGTGAATGTCTTTCGTGAAATTCGCTTCATGTATCGGTCGTTCCTGCACCGACAGTAACAACATTTAGAAGACGGTTGGGTATAACACTATTTCACTCATACTTTGCTACCTAGTAATACGTATTCATCCTAATCCTGGAGTGTACCTTGGATTCATTTAATGTTAACGTTGGATGCGACGAAACTATGCGGATTGTATGACTACAGCTGAGTAAACGTTAAGTTCTTGCTTTCCTCTTTAAATTACCATGCTTTTTATTATTTTGCCGATATATTTATCAAACTGCCCAACATGACTTGGAAGGCAGCGATTCCTAACCCATATATATATATATTTATATATTTATATATACATTTATATGTGAAATCATTATACAGGTAATTCAAAATTAATCTCAACATAAAAGATGCTACTCAGGATATGTGATGGTACAGCTATGTACATGGTCAACTATAGCAGCAGTGAAGAACACCTTCGTCACCGATGGGAGAAAGATATTTTGAATGACCACCACTTTTAGGGAAATATCTGCTTAGATCACGTTTACACAGAGCAGCTACTGTCTCTCGTTCCAAGCCAAGTCAATTTAAGTTCTCCCTGGATTTCGGAGGAGAGGCAAGTGAGCGGTGTTTCGGATAAAAGATCGCACTGGCCCACTGCAAGTCATTTTCGATGTAGTTAATAATACTACTAATATTCATAGGTATATTGCTAACCAGGTGAGGAACTGCATCCATTCTTTCACAGGTCATATACCTACAGGTAATATCGTTCTCTTGCATGCGCGAAATAAAAATATGCGGTGTTTCTGGCAGGTTATGTGTTTCATGTACGTGAATTATGCGATGGTAGTGCGTCTATGCAGATCTACTGGTGCCAACTAATTTGAGCTTCTAATTACACACGAATGATATCGTCAAGGTAATAACAGCTGACGGTGTCCATGGGTTCGTATGTGACCTGATCAAGGCCACTTGTGCATGTAGACAAGCTCTAAGCTACAAACGAAGGGCTTGGTCTCGATCAAAGGACTAGGACTTCGTGGTCGTGGACCGAGAGCACAAGCCGATTCACAACACTGATTCCATTCAGTGTCGAGTTGGACTGTTTGCATTGAATTGAAAGCACTTTTTTAGCTCCGTTCACATCTCTTCTCTCAGAATGTGCCTGGTGGAAATCAGGTCAGTGCGATGTTGACGATAATCCAAGGAGAACAGATTTATCCGCTGAAGTCTCAGGAAATAACGCAAGTCCGGTAACTCCAAGATGTATTTCGCTCTCAGCCGTTGGACCTTCTCAATGAGGTCACATTCTAACTTGGTAAGATTGAAGACGGCAGGTAATCCGTATTCGAGAATGGGGCGCACACGGGAACTAAACAAGAGTGAGACGATATCCGGAGTCAAGGGCAAGAAGGCTCTTCGTGTAGTATTGTACATACTGTTGGCAGTAGCAACCCTTCGTAACGTGTCCTGCGTAGTCTGTAGTTCAGATGACACCAACAGGTCGAGGACTTTTTCAAGGATTGAGGTTCTGAGTAACGCCACACCAGTGTGGTACTTCGCGAAAGGCTCAGGAGCACAAACGGTGAGGACCGAGCTCTTATCGCGATTTATGGGCAATCGCCATTTGACTGACCACTCATGTAACGTATCAAGTGTATCCTGTAATCGGTCTGCATCGTCAAGAGAGGATACCTCCACCCACAATTTTAAGCCGGCAGCGTAAATCAAGCAATCCGACTAAAGTTCTGACAGGAGGTCTTTAATGAAGATCTTGAAACTTCTGGGCCAATGACCGATACCTGCGGGACAATGCTAGTCATGAGCACAGGAACGGAGTACGTCTCGTTCACGTTGACTCGCATTGTACGGTCATCAACGATCCAAGAGAGAACGTTCCCAGAAACACCAATTCCTCGTAGTTTATAAAGTAGTCTTTCATGAGGAACCTTGTCAAAGGCTTTACTGAAATCGACAAAAATAACATCCAGTCGTTTCCCAGCGTCTAATGATTTCGCCCATCATTCACAGACCACAAGTGGTTTCGAAGAACATGAGCGTGTACGCCTAAAACATGCTGCGCACAATAGATGACGTTTAGGTTCTCGACGTGGAGGAAAAAGTGTCCGCTTAAGATTCCTCTCCATTACTTTGCAAAATATTGACGTTAAGCAGATGGGTCAATAATTGGCAGAATTTTGATGATCCCCTCCTTTGTGTATGGGTTTAACAATGTCTACTTCCAAAGCAATCGGGAGCCGTCCAACTTCAAGTGAATGGCAATATACCCGACAAACAGGAGCGGCAATGTAATCGGCCACAGTCTTAAGGAACAGCGGATGCAACCCATCAGGATCCGGTCAGGAGTTCGAATATAATTCACGAATGCCATTGGCAATGATATCAGCGCTCATTTTTAAATGCTCCAACGAAGTGAGGAGTATTGGCACCGCGTCACTGGGAAACGACGTCTCCATCGAGTAAACAGATGAATATTGCATGGCCAGGAGACTGGCTTTCGCAGTCATCGTCAAGTAAACCGACATGTGCCAAGGAATACAGGGCAGGAATACCACTGCCTGCTCTGGTACTTCTCTTCAGGTAAGATAAGAGTGTCTTGGGAGTCGTCTTGGATTGCACAGCCAAACCGAGTTCGTACTTATGCCGTTTCTGTCATTTTTTTTACAACTTGCAGATATTCCTGGCCACCTTATATTCCGAATAGTCAGACTCGGATTGCGTGAGTTTGAGTCGAACCCACAGTTTCCGTCCTTTGTTCATTACGCCACTCATTTCGCGATCAAACCATGGATGCCATCTTGCATAAGGTCTTTTGTAGACAAGAACGATCTGCTCGATGAGCCTTTGAACTAAACATCTGTCTTGCCCTTACATTCAGCCCCGCGTACTGGCGAGGGCTGTGGCGCACAATCCTTCGCTACGGATGCATAACTCTTGGTATTTAGGGCTTCACTGTGGTCAACAGCCGTCAACCTCGCAGAAATTATGGAGTGTTGCGCCCGGTCTCGCTTAACAGTGAGGGTAACCGGTCCAGAAGGAGATGACGAAAAGCATGGGGATGTCAAGGCGGCAGTATCGATGATTGACTCGGTTTAAACAGAAGAGAAATGCAGGTTGAGTGCAGACAGTCCATCAAGCGGTGCAGTGTCGTTCTCTGCCTTCTTTGCTGAAGTCCGACAGGCTAGGATTTCGTTGTCGTTAGGGGCAGCGCAGGATTCTTTCTTTTTGCACAGAATGAAGATATGAAGGACTTGGACTGATTGGGGTTAGGCCATTCGGAACGAGAATGACACTCAGTCCAGCGCGACATGGGTCACAAATAAAGACGACGAGTGAGGAAGTGTTCCTCTGCAGTGGATCGTACAGATCTGGACCAATGTTACAACCTGCAATGTGCAGCCCCCTTCGCATAAGGGAAACTGAACAGCCTTCGACGGAGAAGTGACGGTTTTACAACAATCCAAGCATTTTGATGACATTGTATCCTTTATACGGTAACTAAAGAATGAATCATCATGACGGCAACGATGCTCATAGTGGGCACCGGAGCCAGGTAAAAGATAAGTTCCGTAGTGATGGTGTAGGAACGGTAAATACTAGTCCGAGACGATGCGCACAGGTAAGCGCGGATATCAGAGGGCAATTGGAGTCGGCTACAGCGGCCTGTATTCTATGGGCTACAAGAAGACGCGGACGGAGGAAGCAAGACAGGAGGTGCACGTTAGCGCGGGAACTTAAAAGGCCGGCGAGTGTCCAGCCGATTGTAAGGAAGAGGCTATCAACTCTAGTTTTGCCTCCTGTTTTGTCCTCAACACCCAGCCATTTCATCCTCCACTACCAAAAAGAACGACCGAACTATACTGCAATATCCTTGTGACGTTAAGAGAGGTGCAAAGTGCCAACGCATCCATAAAATCCTTAACTCATCCAGACCCAGTTGGCATCTCCCTAACTGTTATAAAGCTTGGAGGAAAAAACCTCTCTCTAATCTTACTAAATATCTTTACAATTTCTCTCACTAGTGGCTACTTTCCAACTCAATGAAAGCAATCCATTATAATGACTAAGTACAATGGTGGTCCGAGAAATCAAGTGTCAAGCTACCACGCAATAATTCACACCTCTGCTGCTACCAAAGCCCTAGAGCGAATAGTCAAGAAGAACATCGTTCAACACCTTACAAGACTGGATCTGATCAACCCCACGCAGCATGGCTTGCTCGCAAAACGCTCCTACTTTACCTGCCAGCTACAATTTCTCCATCACGTCAGGACTATGATTGACAGCGGAATGGCAATTATTATATTTCTGTTGGACATGCAAAAAGCGTTCGACCGCGTGCCGCACAAGCCACTGCTCTCTTCTCTAGAGTCATGTGGAATTGGAAATCCTCTGCTTAACTGGTTCGATTCATATCTAAACAGTCGAACTCAGGTGGTTGAAATCGGTCAGCAATATTCTACACCGACACAAATAACCAGCGGCGTCTTCCAGTGAAGTGTGCTCGGACCACTACTTTTTCTAATCTACGTAAACAACATATGTGACCCGATCAAACACGGACACCCATTTCTGTTTGCAGATGAAGTCAAACTGGTCTGCACACTTCATTCAGACCAACTACAAATATGCCTGTGGAACATCTGTGAAGACCTATCCGTACTAAAAATATAGCTAGTGAGCATTTATTAATGAAGTTCTCCACAGTGAAATCCCAAGTACTTAGGTGCATATGCCGCATCCCAGAAGGTTCTATCATACTTGCCAGGAACGTCATCCCAATGCCTGATTCAGTTCGGGACTTAGAAATTAGGTACTCCTACTCTTTTAATTTCTCCGAACATGTGCTTTATCTGGTTGCGAAAGTAACGCGGTGTTGCGGATATA